ACATTAACACATTGTCCACAGCACCCACAGATAACTAAAATAAATGGGTGGAAAATAACATCAGCAGAGAACGTGTTAATAGTGGTCTTATTCATGTCTGGCACACTTGAGATACAGAGAACTTAATAGACACTACAACTAAATCAAGAAAATGTGGTAAACTCACTAACCAATATACTACATGTACATGCCTGAGAAAATCACCACGCAAACTAATCTAGCACACAACTACCAATGTAACACTAATCACAGCTAGCTACTAGTAAGAGCTTGAATTTGCAGTAACTAAAAATTATTTAAGCAATTCACATTGAAAAGCATCTGGGTTAGTCTCCCAAAATCCTTAGTTTGGAAAGTTGTAATTTTTGAAAATTTGAAAAATTAATTGGATTATTTTTGACTGTAGCAAATAATTTATTTTCGTAGCATAAATATTAGAATGGTAAATTTTTTGATAATGTCCATTCTTGTTTGATTAACAAAAGCAAAATTTTCAACATCTGACCAAAATATCGATAAAAGCTGAAACTACTGTAGCGGTGACACACATTGTGTACTAGCACAAGGGAAACAAATATTTAAAATCAGCAACAATATATAAAAATATTTTGAAAGTAATCAGGATGATGTTTTCAATGCAAATTGCTGCAGAGTTAGAGAAAACGCATAACAAACAAACGCTGAAATGCAATATTGATTGGACCAATATCACAACAGCTGCATTAGTTTGTCTTAAGGTATATATAAGAAATATTGGAGTTTGTTTCTATATGATGGGTCCTATAGACTAGTGGCAAGCAAGGATGGATATTCATGAATGGACTGCTATTTTTCAGTCAGCAATTCTATGTGGTGTTCCCGTCATATGCCTAGGTACGATGCTAGTAATATCAAATCAATAATTTAGATTTATGCAATTGTGGAATGTTATAATCACTCTTAGGGAAATAAAATATTCTTTGTCTAATGGCTAGTTTGAAAGCAACACATGAATGGATTTCCAATAATCACTTGGCCTCAGTTGGGTGGTTGACCCAATGTTCCCATTAGCATTTTTAAAAGGTACATGTAACTGTCAACAACTGGCCACAAGTATCGTACCTATAGGTGTTAATTGGACAGCATCATGAGTGGAAGAGATTATAGACTTTTCATATTCTTACAAGGTGATGCAAGTACTTACCAACTGTGGGTTTTGGTTTATTCGGAGGCGGAGGTTTCTTAGGTCTATCTGGTGGAAACTGTAATAAGACAACACATAATTCAAGTGCAATGTTATCCTATAAACTCTAAAATGTCCTGATATAAAGAGTAGTGAAGAAAAAACCAAAGAGTGATTTACTGGAGAACAACATCATCATAAAGCACAAGAATATTTGTTCTGTAAACCGCTTAATTTTCACTGCTAGGACTATTTGCAATTTGGCGATTTTATGGCATTTGTGAAGACCAAATTTTGGAAAGTCGATGACACTCTGTGCGATATGACCCCACAAAAAAATGTTCACTGCTACAAAATTTCATGAATTCCAGATTAATTTTCAAAATTTTTGTGAAATTGAAGCAGTTTTACTTTATATTGAATTGCAGTGTCATGATAAATACTGTAAAATACTTTATTTTCGCTTGGAATTAATTTTCGCTGAAGGAATGATTCAGTGAAAATAAAATCCAGCGAACATACCTTTTTTCCTATATTTTACATTCAACTCATCAATCATCAGTGAAATAAATTCCATACAAAATAAAGTATTTTACAGTATTTGGGGGATAGTTTTAATGATTAGTGCATGATATATTCAGAAAAAAATACAATGTGATACTAAGTCTATTAGAGCAAGAAAGTGCAAGGAACAAGTCAGGTACATTCATCTTAAGGCTATCGTTGTATGTATGAGTAACTTAATCCTTCGACTTATCATGCATGATCAACAGAAAAATATACATGTGTTTGGCTTGCTCGTCAATGTGCATGAGAACAGCCATCTAATATTGGTTGTTAGGTACAAATTCTCGTTGGGTGGAACCCACCAGAAAAAGGGTCCTACTATTTAACGCCCGGACACGCGAGGGAGTGTCCGGGCACGCGCGGAGGCGAACAGGGGGGAATACCTAACGGGCGGGGCAGCGGCAGCAATCCTTGTACTGTATAATATTCGTTTATGCTCATAATTTGAACTGGGGTGGCGAATTCGAGCAGCTATCCACACTTTTTATGATCGACGCCCGGGCATTCCGGCGAATCGAGTCCGCCATGTTGTTTACTAATTTTGGTTAGCGTTTAACAATAGGACAATACCATTCGATCCATGGGGGTGACAGTCCTACGAATGTGCCGACATTGTCGAAGGACAAGGACAGGAAAAGTTTGTGCAAGTGTGGCGAGACTCCCGTAGTTACGCGGAAATTATTTACCTCATGTGAAAAAAAAGCATTTTCGAGCATATGTATCGAGACCAAACATAATTTGTCGATAATCGAGTGTTGCAAGAAAAAGTGAGATTGTCGCAAAATGTAGCAAATCGTTTTCAAAACAGTGCCGCTAAGAAAGTCTCGCTTTGTTTGCGCCCACTGTAAAACATGTATAGTAAACAAACCGCCCTTTTAGAAAATATTTTTATTAAAAATAAGTACAAATCAACTAAAACGAAAATTAAAACATGTATAGTAAATAGACAGACAGGTTTGGAAAAGATCGATCACGGGGCGTGTATACAGAAAACTACTGGTATGTAGCTCGCCAACTGGGCTTGGGATCTCTCCATCGCGTCAAGTAGTCATTCATTTGCAAACGTGAATTCGTACAGCGGGCGATGAACTAAACTTGACCTTTCGATGTGTCGCTTCCAAGGCGTTGTGATACTCTCTTTATTACTACCTATATCCATGCTATATTTAATAAAAGTGGGAACGTCATTCAGTTTCATTGTTAACGGCAGGTTACACTAGCGCACCGGAAGCATGTGTGCGAATAGAGGTCATAGCCGTCGCATCGCGATTTTATAGTAGCTCACTTACCGGATTCACACCCTGCTCGGGGATCATGTGGTCTGTGTTACGAGCCCGGCCGTTACAAATTGGTCTGGGATCAGCTTGTAAATAATCTACTGTAACTATACACTGCACAAACAAACTACAAGAGATTCCATAAAATAGAAATACAAGGTGGCGTTTATCACGCCATTAATTTATTCAAGACCTTTTGTTACCTGTTATAGCTCCAAACAGAAACAACAAATGCTTTGTCTCTCGACGCAACTCGCCCTGGTTATGTAAATGTTTTCCCTTACCATCAGGCTCCAAGCCGGAACAAATGACAACCTTTTTTTGTCTGAATTACACAAGTTCATCATATTTGGTATGTCATGTTTATTTGAAAAAAAAAACGTGCCTTGCTTGGGTTGAACCACAGTTACCAAAAAATAGTGACCGTGGTTGAACTGAATTAGGGACAGTGTATGTTCCCCTCTTTGTTGTAGTTGTACAATAGAGTGTCAATCACAGCTGAATACGTGTCGCGGCGTCAACCTTTGAAATATGTGGACGAAACGTAATATATTCTGTACACTATACTGTGCACGAGATGAC